AAAAGGCATGCTTTACTCACTTCCTAAATGATTTGCATTGCACTTTATACACAAAATTTCACTTAGTAAAACAGAAATTATGGTTTAAAAGTAAAATAGGTACTAGATTTTTCTAAAATGTTTTTTTCCAGGAAATGTTTGATGTTGTTTTCTATAAATTTATTGCATAGAAGGAGCTAACAGAACTAGACACCAAGGGTTAAACTACTTTATTTTAGAGTTACTCTGCAATAAATCCAGGGAATTATTCTTATTTGATGCTTGGAAATTATAGCAGGAAATAAATTTAACAGATTTTTATTTAATGTGTCAGTGAGACCAAAGGAACCTGCAAAATCCAGTTCAGTGTTGCACAGTCGCAAAGAGATTGCAAATAATTGTTCCCCAGATGGGTTTGCACATTATTATATCCTTCAGGCCTAAGTCAATATTATAGATCAATTCGATTCATATCAAAATATTAAAAGAAAAAGAAAATAAAGAGTGATGAAACTGCACATATTTTTATTTCTACAATCCATCTATATTTTTATAAGCAATAAAATATTATTTTATGCAGTTTGCTTTCATTTGCTTCTAAGGATGTTTATCTACTATTTATTATATCACTTGGTTTTTTAAAAACTATTTTCTTCTTGTTTTTAAATTGTTTTAATATAAAGAGGACAGTCTCATGTATTTCATAGATACAATTCTAAGAAATCAACAATAATTCCTTCCCTCCTTCCCACATACCTATATCTTAAAATCAGTATAATGAAATTGATGTGATTTAAACAACTGTTTGGAGAATGAAACAAGAAATTTATATCTTGTTATCTTATGCCATTTTGAAGCACATAATTTTATTTATGATAATTAATTTATTTATTTTCTTGATTAAGAGAAGATTGAAAACTATCCAAAAATTTTCTGTAACAGTCGTTTCTGTCTTTAGTATCCCATGCATTCCTCAGTAATTGGGCTGTAATTTAAAGTTCTTGGAGATACTCTTCTAAAAATAGCTTTGTCTTTAGTTTGTTTTGTAACTATTTCCATCTTTACCATATTTTAACATCTTCAATTTTTCATTTTCATTTTATTTTTTAAGCATATTTTTCTTTCCTATAGATGGTTTAGTCTTCAAAATTATAAACTTTTCTAACATGTTTTAGGTAGCATATTATACTGAGTTAATGTTCCTGCTTTAACTTATATACATATATATGTATATGCATTCAATGTATTATTTTATTTTTGACTATGTATCTTTTCAATTATATAAATTTTCTGTAACATTTCCTGAAAATGAGCAATAATAATATTAATAATAATAAGTTGTCTAGGGCAAAGCATGAATTGAGTGCCAGAGAATAAGGAAATTTTTCAGATGATGTATTGTATTTTTATTTTTTATTCACATAAAGAGATTTCCTGTGTTTCATTTTTACAATTTAAATACATGATGCTCTCACTCTCCTCCTGTCCTTCCTCCTTCCTTCTCTCTTTTCTTTTAATTTTGTGATAACATACTTTCTTTTTTATAGGTCCTTGTCCTGACTGTTGATGAACAACTTATTACTTTATCCTTTTTAGTATTTTTTTATTCTACTATATAATGTTGGTTGAACTTTTTAATTAACACACAATTATTCTTAGGTGTTTAAATTTAACTGAAAAGTCAACCCTATTAAATATAAGAATGGGAATAACAAAGTGAGGGGATGTGCAATTTGGGACATGCTCAATCAGACTTGCCCCAAATGGTAGAGTTAGAAACATGCCAGGGGATTCCAATTCAATCCCATCAAGGTGGCAAGTACCAATACCATCTCACTATTCCAAGTGATCAATTTCAGTTCACAATTGATCATAATGATAGGACTAAGAGTAAAAGGGAGCACATAAACAAGACTAGTGTCTGCTAATGCTAACTGAATTAAATCCAACATGGGAAGAGGGGTACACAGTAGACTCATAGAAGGGCAGATGTCCTAAAGAACGCTCTAGCCTCAGAATCAGCCCTTAAGGCATGCGGATCTGGCTGAAGAGCCCATGAGAGTATTTCAGGCATGGAAAGCCAAGACACTCTGGGAAAAAAAAAAAAAAAAAAAAAAAAAAAAAAAAAAAAAAAAAAAAAACCTAAATGAAAGATCTCTGTGAGCGAGATCCCAGTGGAAAGAATGGGCCATCAAAGAAGGAAGTACCTTTCTCTGAAAGGAGGAGAGAACTTCCACTTTGACTATGACTTTGTCTAAATAAGATCGGAGTCGGGGAACTCAAAAGGCCTCCATAGCCTTGGCAACTCATGACAAGAGCCTAGGGTGATTACTGATGCCATAAATAAGAGTGTCAAATTGTTAAATCAACAACAGGAGTCATTGTGCACTTACTCCTCATGTAGGATCTCTGTCCTTAATGTGTTGTGAATTAATGCTATAACTAGTACTCAAAGAGTACTTTATACTTTGTGTTTCTGTGTGGGTGCAAACTGTTGAAATCTTTACTTAGTATATACTAAATTTCTCTTCTCTATATAAAGATAATTGAAAATGAATCTTGATGTGAATGGGATGGAAGAGGGAACGGGAGAGGGGAGGGTTACAGGTGGGAGGGAAGTTATGGGGGGGAAAGCCACTATAATCCATAAGTTGTACTTTGGAGATTTATATTTATTAAATAAAAGATAAAAAAATATCTATTTATTTATTTATTTGAAAGTCAGAATTACATGGAGAGAGAAGGTGAGGCAGAGAGAGTGAGCGAGAGAGAGAGAGAGGGCTTCTATCCACTGGCTCACTCACCAATTGGCCACAATAGCTGGAGCTGCAAGCCAGGAACTTCCTCTGGGTCTCCTTCATGGGTGCAGGGACCCAAGGACCTGGGCCATATTCTGCTGCTTTTCCAGTCCATAGTAGAGAGCTGGATTGGAAGCAGAGCATCCGAGACTTGAACCGGTGCCCATATGGGATGTCAGCAAGTGCAGGCAGCGACTTTACTCACTATGCCACAGTGCCAGCCCTGATAACATACTTTCAATTTATTTTATAATCAGAGGCTTAATCTTCCACAGCGCTTACTAATAACTCATTAATCTCATCACAAAATTTTAGTTAAAAAAGAAACCCAACTCCAACTTACTTAATAATTTTAAAAAAGGTTTGTGTATTTTAATCCAAGTCCCAAGAGTCCACTAGTTATTCTGGATTCAGAATTGATTCTCATTGGCCTGGCTCAGTGTCACATTCTCAACTGTAAAGCAATCACTTTTGCATGTGCTGAGAGTCTGGGCCCAGTCAAGACACATGTTGCTGGGCAGAGTGGCCTGGGAGTCAATATCACTCCAGGTCTAAGGGTGGGGAAAATGGGAAGACACGGCTCAGAGGCTGACAACTTTCAGTAACAAGACAAGTACGTTTGCAATTGTAATGCACACCTTACTGACTGTAGTTAATAGTAATATATAGAAAACTTGAAGTCTGCCACGAGATTGTCTCTTAAGTTCTCAGACCAGTATTAAGGTTAATGTGTGATAATCTGGTCAGCTTGATAGTGGAAATCATTTTACAGTGTATACCATGTTCTACACTTTAAATATACATATATATATATATTTATTTATATATATATATAAACTTTGTCAATTTTACCTCAATAAATAAAAATAGCAGATAGATTGAACCTTGTATCATAGATTGTAGTACTAAGATATTGTCAGTGAAAATCTTGTAATCGTTACTTTAAATGAGACAACATAATTTTATCTGTGGCATTTTTGGATAGTAGAAATAGAAGAATGCACATAAATCTTTATAGTAACATCGTCAGTAACTTTAAAGTTCCATATTAAACAAAGCTGTCACATATATGAATAGTTGAGTCTTTCTCTGTTGCTATCGAGTGTTGTTCTGAGTAAATGTAATAAAATTTGTCATTCTCCTTTTGATGGAAAAATTGTGTAGGTATTTTAAATAAAACTTTACTGAAGCATTTTAGTTTTCATAAGATTCAATTTATCTTTTTGTCTTCTTTTAGAGTCAATTTTTTTCTGATATAATTGTTTCAAAGTAACCCTAAGATCTAGAAATTTATCAATTTTTTTTAAAAAAGACTGCATCTTCTTTTCTTAACGTCTTGTATATAAAATTGAGTGACAAAATTATGCATAATTTCTTGCGTTTCTTTATGTTTAGGTATCTGAGGACTCATTTTCTTTTAAGCATTGATTTAACTGAATCTTAAATATTTTCATTTCTTATTTTTAAAATCATTCAGTTCAAAATATTTTTATCTTTAAATATTAATGGACTTAATTGGATATCCATTAATATTTAAAGATAAAAATATTTTGAACTGAATGATTTGATTTCCAAATATTGGGTATTTTTAGTTTTGTTGCTGGATTCAGTTGTTTTATTTTGTAATAATAAGATAATAGAATCTATGATTTTTTTAAAATTAAGGTGACATATACATTACATTTTTTATACTATATTAGTTATTGCGGATAAGGGAAAACATGATATTTGTTTTTTTGGGACTGGCTTATTTCACTCAGTATAATGGCTTCCAGTTATATCCGTTTTGCTGCAAAAACAAGTTTTAATTCTTTGGATTGAAATTTTTCTTTAGCACAACATTGTCTATTTGAGTATATTTTTCCTGTATATTTGAAAATAATTTCTATTATACAATTATTTTAGTACTCTATAAATATGATATATTTGAGGAATGCTAGTAATTCACTTAGTTGCAATATAGAACACGGGCAGTGTAGAAACAAAAAATGATAATGTGTATCTTAATCATTCCTTCAGAGTTAAGAAGGTTTGATTAATTTTAGAAATAACAGAAATTTCCAGCATCATTCATTTGAAAAGATAACTGCAATGTATAATTCTTTCAATTAGGAATCTGTTATTTTGAAAAGTCTCCATTGTCATGATAACTAATTTACGCACATATGTGTTAATGTTTCAATCAATTAGAATATAAAACATACTAAATATTGCTTATCTTACGTTGGTTATTTCCTTTGCGCTCCATCTCCATTTCATTCAGGCTTTTCTCAGTGTTTTGCAGCCATTTCTTACTACTGAAATCCTTTCATGATAACATCCATATGGTTTGTTCAATTTGATGACGTTTCTTGGCATGTAGAGATTTAACTAGGGCAATTTTCTCTGCTTATCCAACTGCTATGCTATTGCAGTACACAATATCTTTCTTTATATTAAAATCAAGAAAGAAATGAATGTAGCATATTTCCCTCAAAAATGAAAGGAAATAGACACCATTTTCATATATTATAATATATGGAATTTATATGTAGAAAGACAAGTTAAATTTGTTTTAAAATAAGAAAATACTGTTTTGCCTTTAAGGAATTTCACAGAATAATTGGGTTTGTATTAGCATTGCATATGTTTTCTCTAGAGTTAGTAGGTTTCTGAAAATGTGAAATATCTTTTAGAGTTTATCATTATGTGTACTTTATTCTAATTCTCACAGAAATTAATTCTGATATTAAGGGGAGAGGGGACAACGCAACAAAATATCTGATAGTAGAATCATTGAGGGACATCTTGAAGGTTGTCATCTACAGTCTTATCATTTTCCATTTGAATAGACTTTCCACTCTTGAGTTCAAATGAATTAAATGATTACCCAAAGTTCAATTAAAAAATCAGTTACTTTGTAGGATACAAAAGATCACTCCTGACCAAATTTATTCATAAGGTATACTATTTTCAACTTTCTCAATGACTTCTCAAGACCCTACTCCATCAACTCTCAAGTTTTTGTTCATGATAACTATACATGATGATATTAATAAGGATGATGATATTTTCTCTACAATTTAAGTATTCTTTGACATTTCCTAAGAGAAATATTTATTCACATAAAAACATTTATTTATTTTATTTTTTAACGATTTATTAAATTATTTGAAAGGCAGAGTTCCACAGAGAGAGAAGGAGAGGCACACAGAGAGAGAGGGAGAGAGAAAGAGAGAGAGAGAGTCTGATAGTTCACTCCTCAATTGGCTGAAAGGGCAGGAGCTGCGCTGATCTGAAGCCAGGAGCATGGAGCTTCTTCTGGGTCTCCCATGCAGTTGCAGGGCCCAGGACTTGGGCCATCTTCTACTGCTTTCCTAGGCCATAGCAGAGAGCTAGATCAGAAATGGATCAACCAGGTCTTGAACCAGTGCCCATACAGAATGCCGGCAGTGCAGGCGGTGAGTTAACCCGCTATGCCTCAGCACTAGCAATGTCATATGAAACCATCTAAAAATCAAAAAATCCTTTATGAGATTTTTGATGTTATTTTTTTTAACTTTTATTTAATGAATAAAAATTTCCAAAGTACAGCTTATGGATTACAATGGCTTCCCCCCCATAACGTCCCTCCAACCCGCAACCCTCCCCTTATCCACTCCCTCTCCCCTTCCATTCATATCAAGATTCATTTTCGATTCCCTTTATATACAGAAGATCAGTTTAGCATACATTAACTAAAGATTTCAAAAGTTTGCTCCCACACAGAAACATAAAGTGAAAAATACTGTTTGAGTACTAGTTATAGCATTAAATCTCAATGTACAGCACACTAAGGACAAAGATCCTACATGAAGAGTAAGTGCACAGTGACTCCTGTTGTTGACTTAACAAATTGACACTCTTGTTTATGGCATCAGTAATCACCCTAGGCTCTTGTCATGAGCTGCCAAGGCTATGGAAGCCCCCTGAGTTCACTGACTCTGATAATTTTTAGACAAGGCCATGGTCAAAGTGGAAGTTCTCTCCTCCCTTCAGAGAAAGGTACCTCCTTCTTTGATGACCCGTTCTTTCCACTGGGATCTCACTCACAGAGATCTTTCATTTAGGTTTTTTTTTTCCCCCAGAGTGTCTTGCCTTTCCATGCCTGAAATACTCTCATGGGCTTTTCAGCCAGATCCGCATGCATTAAGGGCTGATTCTGAGGCCAGAGTGCTGTTAGGACATCTGCCATTCTATGGGTCTGCTGTGTATCTCACTTCCCATGTTGGATCATTCTCTCCCTTTTTGATTCTATCAGCTAGTATTTGCAGACACTATTCTTGTTTATGTGATCCCTTTGGTTCTTAGTCCTATCATTATGATCGATTGTGAACAGAAATTGATCACTGGAACTAGTGAGATGGCATTGGTACATGCCACCTTGATGGGATTGAATTGGAATCCACTGGTATGTTTCTAACTCTACCGTTTGAGGTAAGTCAGCTTGAGCATGTTCTGAATTGCACACCTCTTCCCTCTCTTATTCCCACTCTTATATTTAACAGCAATCACTTTTCAGTTAAGTTTCAACACTTAAGAATAACTGTGTATTGATTACAGTATTCAACCAAAAGTATTAAGTAGAACAAACAAAAAAAAAAATACTAAGAGGGATAACATATTAAGCTGCTCATCAACAGTCAGGGTGAGGGCTGATCAAGTCACCGTTTCTCATAGTGTTCATTTCACTTTAACAGGTTTCCTTTTTGGTGCTCAGTTAGTTGTCACCTATCAAGGAGAACAAGTGGTATTTGTCCCTTTGGGATTGGCTTATTTCACTCAGCATAATGTTTTCCAAATTCCTAACAGGATCACTTTTCAGTTAAAATTTAAACACCTAAGAATAATTGTGTGTTAATTACAGAGTTCAACCAATGGTACTAGAACAAAAAAAAAAAAATACTAAAATGGATAAAGTATTACATTGTACATCAACCGTGGAGATTTTTGCTGTTATTATTTCCATCTTACCAATTAAAAGATGGCCACTTAGTGTTTAGGTTCACAAAGGTGTTAAAAAGAAGTCAACTACTGAAGTTAAATAATTAAATTTTTGTTTAGTCGAAGTTTCATACAACATATCATAATATTCATATCATGCCCATTATTATTTTTCCTATACAGAAGCTATTCCTTATTTCTGGCATGTTATCTAAGGTGCTCTCCATTTGGAAGTTTGTAACAACTTGGGATTGTTCTCTCCAATTCCCCATCAAAGTTTAATGTAAATATTATTTTCTATGATTTCCAAGTGCACAATTTTGCTCCTTTCTTCTTTAGCTAATTGAATTTGCTAAAACCTAAATATTTTTTTAGATTTCTGTGGTTTAACATGTAAGTTTTACTACAAATTTACTATTTCCTTTTACTTAATTATTTGGGATTGCACAAATATATAATTAATAATTATTTGTTGAATGATGGCACTTATTGTTGGATGAAATGGCATTTAACTGGATTTAAAAGACTGATATATAAAAAGTTTGAGATGTAATGGTGTGTTTATGGGAACAAATATATTTGTAATAATAATAATATTAAAATAACTAATATGTTTGAATCTTTATAAGGAACAGACAGTTCTAAGCATTTTTTAGATGTTATCATTTTTAAATTCCCATCTTATTCTGTGGCATATATGGTGTTATCCCCATCTTATGAACAGCAAAATTGACATGTGATCTAATAAATGACAGACTAAGATTTGGAACTTGTGGATTCTGATTCAAGATATTTTTTTTTTTAATTTTCAATTTTCTTTATATACAGAAGATCAACTTAGTATATACTAAGTAAAGATTTCAACAGACTACACCCACAAAGACACACAAAGTATAGAATACTGTTTGAGTAGTAGTTTTACTGTTAATTTGCATGGTACAACACATTAAGGACAGAGGTCATACATGGGGAGCAGGTGCACAGTGATTCCCGCTGTTGATTTAACAATTGACACTCTTACTTATGATGTCAGTAATCACCCTAAGCTCTTGTCATGAGCTGCCAAGGCTATGGAAGCCTCTTGAGTTCACCAACTCCAATCTTGTTTAGACAAGGCCATAGTCAAAGTGTAAGTTCTCTCCTCCCTTCAGAGAAAGGTACTGCCTTCTTTGATGGCCCATACTTTCTGCTGGGATCTTACTCACAGAGATCTTTCATTTTGGTCCCTTTTTTTTTTTTTTTTTTTTTTTTTCTGCGAGAGTGTCTTGGCTTTCCATGCCTGTGAAACTCTCATGGGCTTTTTAGCCAGATCTGAATCCCTTAAGGACTGATTCTGAGGCCAGAGTGCTATTTATGGCATTTGCCATTCTATGAGTCTGCTGCATATCCTGCTTCCCATTAAGGATCATTCTCTCCTTTTTAATTCTATAAATTATTATTTACAGACACTGGTCTTATTTATGTAATCCCTTTGAAACTTAATCCTATTTTTTGTCAATCATGAACTTAAACTGATCACTTTAACAAGTAAGATGGCATTGGTACATGCCCCCTTGATGGGATTGAACTGGAGTCAGCTGGCACATTTCTAGCTCTACCATTAGGGGTAAGTCTGAATGAGCATGTTCTGAACTGTACATCTCCTCCCTCTCTTATTCCCACTCTTATATTTAACAGGGATCACTTTTCAGTTAAATTTAAAAGACTAAGAATAATTATGTGTTAATTAAAGAGTTCAATGAATGGTATTAAGTAGAACAAAAATACTAAAAGAAATAAAATAGTAAGTTATTCCTTGATCGTCAGGACAAGGGCTGATTATGAAATTGTTTCTCATAGTGTCCATTTCACTTCAACAGGTTTCCCTGTTGGTGCTCAGTTAGTTGTCACCAATCAGGGAGAACATATGATATTAGTCCCTTTGGGAATGCCTTATTTCACTCAGCATGATATTTTCAGATTCCTCCATTTTGTTGCAAATGACTGGATTTCATTTTTTTTTACTGCTGTATAGTATTCTATAGAGTAGATATCCCTTAATTTCTTTATCCTGTCTTCTGTTGATGAGCATTTAGGCTGATTCCATGTCTTAGCTATTGTGAATTGCGCTGCAATAAACATTGAGGTGCAGATGGCTCTTTTATTTGCCAAGATCTATTTTCTTGGCCTGGATTTAATTCAGTAGGTAATAGGAAACTGTTAAAGACATTTTTTTAAAAAAGGAGAGACATGTTCAAGTGGTACAATATGAAAATTGTTTTTGCTGTGTAGAATTGCCCAAAAAGGAGAACC